CTGCTTCTTACCATGCTGCTTCCTCCTTTTGGTTTGGTTAACCAAGTGGAGGGCGCCGAAGTGTTCACTATGGGGGGGGTCTTCATCACTTCCGTGATCATCTTTCACTTCGGCCTTGTTGATCGAGCGTTCCTCTGCGCAGGCTTTTGTGCCTCCTCTTCCGTGATAGGCACTGCTCAAGGTATTATCCCTAACGTTAGTGTGGCGTTCACCAGGACACTCGTTGGTCTGCATGTCATGCGCATCAACCTTTACTCCCCAGGGGGCACCCGCATCACCACCTACTCCGTCACCTACCCCGTCATCGATGCCTTTCCTATAAATTTCTTGATACCGGTCTTCGCAATAACTCCCCGCATACGGGCTACCTAACTGTTGGCTTCTTTTTTCATTCCCCGGGTTTTCATCATTATCGCCACCGTATACGTCCTCACCAACGCCATGTGCATTTGCTAAAGTGACATATCCATCCCCATCGGGCAGTCCCCTGGAGTTGACCCCTTCATCCATATTTTTTCCCAAAATGATATTTTTAGCATAACTATTGGGGTGATTACCTTTTGTGTGCTTTCCCTTCGGATAAAAGGTAAACATGTTGACATCTTCGACATTTTCACGGTGAACGAAATCGTTCAGTGCACTGTCCTTTCCTGTTTTAACTTCCTCTTGGAACTCTCCATCCATATCTTCGCTGGTGTTTATAATTGCTACTAATCTGTTCACGTCAATTATACTGTCATTGAACGATATGGAAGCAGAGTTCTCGTCGAAAGTGACTTCTTCCACTCCATCTACCTCTTCTAGCTGCAAAGAAGTTATCTTACTTTTCACACTACTGTTTATGTTACTAAGAAGCAAAGCGGTTTTTGCCATTTTTCGAAGGGTATCCTCATAGGGTGTACATATAAAAGGGCGGCACACTCAACATGCACATGCGCAGGTGTGGCACACACAATAAAAAGGGACAAAAAAAAAAAAAAAAAAAAGGAAGCTAAGGAGTGTGCTAAACTGTGTTAGGCATATAATCAATTAGTAGAGTGAGTTTGATTCAGAGGGGCACTTTGAAAATGTTATCATGGGCTCCTTAAGTAACTTACTATAGCCCTTCTTATGGCACTTTTTACGCCCTCGCTTATGCTCTCTTATGCCCTCTGTTATGCCTCCTTTTATGTCACTTCTTTTCCCCTTCTCAGGCATATAACGCGTCACAGTTCGACGTGTGCATATAAATTGACATATTCACAAATCACGTTACCATATATGTGCAATACAAGGGCTGCCAAGCCCCCTTGACAAAACTGTTGTGTAAGTAGTAAACTGTGCACCTCCCCCCTGTGTTCGTTAAAAAGAGCACATAAAAAAAAAGGGGAAAAGGAATTACACACTCAAACAAGTTTTAAGTACAAAATAATCGTTTTTTAAGAAGGTATAGAAATGTCAACACGTTTAAATGTGGCACGTGTAAACATTCCAAGGGGTACCTGCATCAGGACAACAATTTATACGCAAAGAACAGGCCTAATTATTACTCAATCTGGGGCGTGAAAAATGGCCGTATAAAATAAAATTGAAAAGGAAAGTGAAAGTGGCTACAATTGTGTAAGTATAACCTACTAAGTTTGCTCCAATTTGTGTCGCATTCTCCAGGCGTACTTTGTTGCTATTGCTCCAACGGCCAGGCACCATACTGTTCAAATAGTGGTGAGAGGGCCTAGGGCCGCGCGCAAAGGGGTACATGTTTTATACGTACATCCGCGTGTATGCATGTACAATCACGCTAGGGCATATTCTCACAAATGGGTGTTCACGATCGCACGTTTCGCGTGGATACATATGGATGGTGAAGAAAATTTTGCGGTGATGGGGCTGATTCAAAATTAACAAAAACAAAGAGCTTTGAATAGAAAGCTGAGGAAAAAATAAGCTCGACGCGTAGATTCAAGAATGAATAACGCACTTTCAAAAGAAAGCGAAAAAACATAGCCACAAAGGTGCTAAAAAAACCGGAGTGCGCTCTTTTCGAAGTGCATCCCTTTCGAATTGCATTCCTTTCGAAGTGGATAAAAGCGCCAGCGCCCCCCACGCATACCTTAAAAAGTATGCGAATACTTAGATATTATGCAAATATTTAAAAATTATACGTATCCACAACGTTATTCGGCAACTTTTTCTGGCACATTTTTTACCTTTATTTATTTTTCCTTTTTTTTTTTGCTAAGACGCTTTACCCCTTCGCAATAGAGAATTGCAAAATTTGAAAAACACCTTTTTCGTTGCGCACTAATTGGTATGTGCCTCACAGCTGAGCTAACTAGAATGGGCGTTTTGTTTAGGAAAAAACTTCCTATAAAGCGTTATACGTATGTGTATATTATGTGAATGTATCTATGCGTATACATATGCGCAAACACTTTCATCACTCTACAAGCGTGACTTATAACATTGTGAGGCACGTTTCCACGTTTCGTTTCTCAAAGAGGTAAACTTCAGTTCGACGAAAAAGGAACTTTAGGAGTTTGTGCAAATTCAACCACGATAACTTGTGTGGCGCAAAAAAAATCGAGGCAGCCTGGTTGACCTCGGTTAAGAACGGGTCGTAAGGAATAAAACCACGCCACAAAAAAAAGTAGCCACGCCGCAAAAAAATAGCCACGCGGCGAGGAACTACTTTGCAACGGGGCGTATCCACAGGTGTTCGTGTGTGTGTGTTGGGGGTGACGCACATGTTGGGACGCATACACATACGTAGAAGCTCAGATGTATAGCTTCGCACGGCCCTGCATCGAACCCCGCTAGAACGTGTTCCAATTCTCCTTGTGGATATTCTGGTTGTCGACATCGATATATTTCGTGTTCAGGTAATTGCTCTGCTTCTTCAACTTGTAAATAAACTTATTGTTATACGTGTGAAAGGAATCTATGCTCTTCTGCACAGTACTTAAGTACTCGTCCAGGTACTTGTCATCAATGGGATGTTCATAATTTATCTCTAATTTTTTTCTAAACAGATGATTTTTATATATTAAACAAACGCAAGGCACATATGTGACATCGCAATTGTAAGAACCCTGTGGACAGACATTAACATCCAGGAAAAAAAATTGTAACTTTTTATTCTTTTCGATAATACTTTTAAATTTCTCAAATAAAAGCACACTAATATTATTTTCATAGCTACCAAAATATAGGACCTGTAAATCGTTGGATGTAATGATATTTGTGCATTCATTTTCCTCCTCCATTTTTCCTAAATTGGTTCTCACTGCGTCCTTTCTTTCTTCCATGGAGGGTTTAAATTCGTCCGCTAAATGTTCCCCATTATGCTCCCACATTTCTGCATCATTAAACTTGTTTTGAAATTTGGAGTAATCCTTAAAGTACTCATTTTTTACAACCAAATTGTGATATTCATCGTAGCTGTTTATTACCTTCAAATTGTTGTAGTATGTGTTATCCAATTTGTACACATTGTAAATGTACTTGTTATCAACAGCTGTGACGCTGTTCATCTGCGCTGTGCTGTAGTTCTTGCCTAATAATGCGGCTGCGAATTTACCACTGGTGCGGAGGAATTGTTCCCGTCTGCATAAACTTACTACTTTGATCATCTTACTCATTTCTGCTTCGGTCCAGCGGCATAGTAGGAGGGGGAGGGGGGTCGCACTGGGCGAAAAAAAGGGAAAGCAGCACTGGCAGAAGTGGCAAACGTAGCAGAAGACGTAGCAAGCAGCAGCCGCAGAGGAGAGGGGGGGACGCAGATGGCTCTTTCAAGTTTACATGTAGAATATGCCGTGAGTCAAAGCTTCTCTCTTCCGTTCACGCTGATGTGCATACAAGCCTCTATTTTCCAGGGTGCTTTTGCATACGGAAAATGTGCCCACAGGGGTGATACGCCCAAATGTGCGAAAGTCAGCAAATGCGAAAATGTGAAAACTTGGCGAAACGTGGGGCCGACATACGCAAACATGTACGCAACATAGAAACGAAAAAAACTCGCCCTAAAATACCAGTTTGTTAATCTTTTCCGTGCGGAGTTAAAGGGGAGTTGTGCCAAGAGAAAAGGAGTGAAGAAACTCGAAAAAAAAAAAAAAAAATTGACGCAGAAACGCGTTTTCCAAACAATTCAGAACAACATGAACAGCATTTCACATGCATAGCATATGAAAAGGATTATGGAGTTTATACTTAACATTTACAAATGTACAACTAAGTCGTACGCGCCATTATTGCCCGTATGCCCCTACACTGTGCGCACATAATGGTATAACATTTTTTTTTTTTTTTTTGAGCCTTTTGCACCCCAGTTCTTCTCTACACGCCGTGTAAAATTGAACGCCCTATTCTCTTTCCTTTTGTAGAATGCAGATTTAAGAGAACTCCCTTTATCCTCGTTTCTCCACTAGCATAAGTCCCCCCCGCCCTGCCGCTTTTTATTGGACAAACTGGGGCATTCGCATGTTTACCTGTGCTCTAAGCCTATATAAACCTCGGGGAGTTCTTCCACTTCTCCCCAAATGATGTTTTTCCAAGGGAAAAATTAACAAAAGGGGCGGAGTCTTTATTGGTTCCTTAAAAATGAACACACCTTTTCGTGATAAGATATATGAACATTAATTGGGGTATATATCTTTTCATTGTTTTTAAAAATGAAAAAAGGCAATTTATCACGATGAGGATACAAATGTGGGTTATTAAAACAATTTGGTATGCAAAGGAAATTGTAAAGGAGTACGCTGGTTGACTGGGTGTACCAAGGCAGTGTGCACAGTGACATGTGCAAACGTGTCGGTTAACTCGTCATGGTGACATTTCAACCCACTCGCGCATCGGCACATGTTCACATATCAATCCATTTCGTACGAATACTCCTTTTCTTTTACGAAGTCAAATACTGGGGTTTGCTAGCATGTGGTCGCTAGTCAAAAAAAAAAAATTAAATACAATTTTGTACATGCCAAAAAAAAAAAAAAAGAAACAAAACAAATGTGCGTGCTTTTATTTTAAAAGCTTAATGAGCTCAGATAGTTGATGCTCTCCACAACTTGTGCATCCAACTTGTCCTTGATAGGCAGCAAAAATTTAACAACGGCGTGAAGAGTGGTCTGTCCTACCAGTTCGCTTATCTACAAGTGGGCGGGGGAGCGGCGTTATGCGGAGTTATGCGCAATTGTGCAGAACACATTACGGTGGTGGGTAGATGGACAAATCGAACAAATCGAACAACCCCGTTTTCAACACATACGCAGTGCACTCAATGATACACTCGCTCGGAGGAAAAACCTCCTTCCATCTGTACCTGATAGTTCTGTCGACACAGTTCCCGCAGCGTCATCAAAAAGTTGGAGGACAAATCGATGTTGTAGTAATCCGCCGTGGACAGCTTCTCCAGCATGTTGTCCGGAATCAGGCTGGACGAAAAGATTATAAAGGCCTCTTCGAACATCTTCCTCTTCATGAACAGGATGCTCAGGATTAGATACGACTTGTTTTCAATTGATTCCAGCTTAACGTTTGAGGGCCACATGTTCTGCAGGTGGGGGGGAGGAGGTCAAAAAATATGTATGGAGGGAACAACGCTGCGCCAGTGCTCATCGTCCGCACAAACGATTCGCTGATTCAGCATGACTCGCTACCGCGATGGCTGAGCCGATCGCCGTTTCTGTCTCCTCTACCTTGGCCAAGTGATAAAATCGGAAGGCACACTTGCGGATGTAGACGTACTCCCGCTCGTTGTTGTGGTAGTAGTATATCAGCTCGTCGTTGTAAATCCTAATCAAGGAGTTTATGGCGCTCTGCTCGTCCTTCAAGATGTAGTAGCAGATGAACGAAATGATGTAGTTCTTCCTCTGGTTGGCAAAGTACGCCAGGATGGCATAAAACTGAGATATTTTGTACAGAATGGAGCAATGCACACTGATGATGGAGTTGTCCAAGGATATCCTATTCAATGTGTTAATATTCTTGCTTTGCACATACTTAAAATTCCTGCACTTGTAATGATATTCTTCGTCATTTTCATTTTTATGTTTACATAATTTACTATTATGAAAGAGTTTCTTCTTGTACAAAACGTAGTACATTAAGAAGTAGCATTTTATGTCCTTTCTCATTTTCACTTTATTCTTAAATAAGAAGAGAAAGTCATGTAATTTCCCATAAAGTATATTCCCGTCGTTATTTATCTGCCCAATTACACTCTCGTGCAAGAGTATATCTTGATTTTCCTGCACAATACTCTTCAACAGTTTGATACTTAAGCTTGTCTTCAAATTAAGCAGATACGTTATTTTTAACAGAATATTAATGTTATTATTTCGAAGTACAAAATAGTCAAAGGGGAGGTCAATACTATTCAAGCTCAGATTGATTAAATTCATTCTGTCTGCTACAGAGGTGGCCACAATTGCCGTGGCTTCCACAGCTGTGGCCGCCACTGTCGCCGCGGCAGATGAAACATCGTCATTAATACCATTCATGGAATGATCCAAAAATGAGTCGCTTTCATTTTTTAACTTCAAAAATTGTAACGTCTTTAATTTTATATTATTCAACTGGTCATTCTCGAAGATGTCATTTTTGTGCAAAAATATAGTCAGCACTAGGAGGATCCTCTGCACGTTGCTCGATATACACGATAAAAACGCAACCGTGGTGTAAATATTTCCCACTAACAGGAGGTAGTAAAATAGCTTAATGTAGAGCACGAAATTATTTTTTAAAATTTTTGATACGTTGCCCTTAACCTTTTCTGCAATCTTTCCATCCACCACAATAAAATTATTTATGACTTCATCCACCTTGAGTTTCGAACAGACGGCAAAAAAATCTTTATTTTCGTTGACAAGACAGTGCGATATGCAAATGAATAACTTTTCAATTTTGCTGTTTATTTTCTCCCTCCTATATTTTGTGTCATTTAAAAAGGCATTATTATCGTCATCGTAATTGCAAAAACTTAAGTTAACATCCATGATGTCAAAATTCTCTTGAAATTTACTTCCATACAAGTCAAAGTTCTTCGAAAGAAACAAAGTCAATTCGATCCATATACTCGTCTCGATATTGCAGTACTCAAAATTATAGCCATACCTGTTGGTGATTCCCAAAGATTCGATGTAACTTATGTGTTCCGAATCTCTGTTCATTCTGTCCTCCATCTCTTCATTTATTTCGATGTTTCCAAATTCATCCTCTTGGGATTTCTTCGGCTTCTGAAGCATATTTGTAAACATGTCAAAAAAGAAGGTTCTATTTTTGCCTTTTTTCCCTTTCCTTGCTCTTCCGTTGTTGCTGTTCTCATCGCTGCTGAAGTAGCCCCTCATCGAGTTGTTAGTCTTGTTATTATTAGCATCGCCTCTGTTCCGACTGCTACGTCTGCTATTTCTCCGTTCATCATCGATTAGGTCATCGTTGGGGTGTCGTCTACTTCCATTGCGGAGATTACTAGGATTTCTACTACCTCGACCGCCGTTCCTCGGGGGGCCCACGTACCCCTCATCATAATAGTCCTCGTACTGCTCACCATAAGGGAGATCGCTATAATCACCGTAGTAGTCGTCACTGTATTGACTTTTGGATCTTTGCTCTGACCGCCTTCCTCTTATGGAATCCTTCCCTGCAGCTGCCCCCTCCCCCCCATTGTACCCTCTGCCCTTATAATAACCACCCTCTCTATTGTAGTCATTTGTATTCGGCCCGATACGACTGTCATGATGATGATGATCATCAAGATCGTCATCACCATCATCGTCACGATTGTTCTCATAGCCGGGGCTTCTCCCCTCTCTGTAATGAAAAATATTTTTCATCTCCATTTTTTTGTCCCGATTGATGTACATGGCCCCCTTTTTGTAAAAAATGTCAGAAAACAAAACGCACAGCAAATCGTAAGCATAAATGTTGTTAACACAGAGGTAAATAATTGAGTGGAAAAAATTAATCAACACTGACATGTTGATCTTTTTTTTAAAAATGTCGGTGCAGTCAAAATCCACCTTCATATTCTCGAAGATGCTTATCTCGTTACTTTTATTATAAATTAAAAATAAAATTCTTATCAGTAATATTACAAAGTCGTACAGGTAGCTGTCAATGCTTAAATTTTTCACAAATTCGTCCCCCTTAATTATCTGGATTAGCCCCAAGTAATTTCCGCACCGAAACATTATGTTAACTAGGTAGAAAAAAAAATGGATAGTGCAGTTTTCCTTGTCCATTTCATTCTTATAAAAATTGTCATAACAGTATGAAAAAATGGCGTTCGACTTGGAGTCCACAAAATATTCATCAATCTGGTTTAAATCCTTGGCAACATAGTTGCTTATTTCGATTCTGTAAAACTTGTCATGCAAATGTTGCAACGTTCCGAACAAATAGTTTAACAGTAAATTTTCATATGTGTAGTTGGAGGCCGAATTGAGCTTATCTTTGCCGCTCATATTACCATTACTATTGCTATTACCATTATTGTTGTTGTTATCCCCGTTTTCGTAGTACTCCTCCTTTTCCCTTCTTTTTATATTTTCCCTCGTTATGGACAAATTCATATTTAGTAGACTATTTAGAATGTCTTTCAAAACTTGCTTATAAATGGAATCCACATCTAGCGCGTTTATATTTGTCGCGTTTGTCCCTCTTCTTTTGCCTCGCCTTCTATCCCGACTTGACATTGTGTCACTCTCCTGGTACTTACTTATCTGCGATTTGAAGAAGTGGTTCTTCGAGTTCATGTAGTAATGGTCGTTCACTTCAACAAAGCTTCCAGGAAATAAATTCTTGTCTACATTTCCGATAAAAATCTTCGAGTAATTTAAATTGGTATCACTTAACAATAAGTAGTAAAAGCTCTTAAAGGGAATAAAATCAACTTTGTATGCGTTCACATTGTATAGCCAAATTAAAATTTGAAACTCATGTTGATCCAGATCTAACACGTTGCTCTTAACAACCTTTTGATTTTTTTTCTGCTTAAAATTCACCAAATAATCCACAAAGTTTTTAAAAATATTACTTTTAAAATTATCCCACATTAACGAATCATGATCATTCAATAAAGAAAACGTTGTCTTTTGTATGTCGTTTATGTTATCATTTATAATTAAATTAATATAATTGTAAAAGGTCCCTTCTGATTCCTTTTCGCTAAACACCTCATCCTCTTCATACGCCTGATCGAAAATGCCTTCCTGCTTCTTTATAATCGTTAACTCTTCAACGGACTTGTCTAAATGGTCTTTGCTACCACCTAATTCGTCCTTTTGATCACTTTTAAATTCTTGTGCCATGAAATTGTTTGCCTTTCCCTTCTCGCCTAACAGGAGATTATTCTGCGTGCTCACCAATGTAGTGTTATTAGGCCCCAAATTCTTATTTCCTATGAACATATTGGTTGACGCTCCACCTGCTGCACTTGTGCTTATTTTCTGACCCAAACCGGTACTACCTATCATTGTGCTGCCACCCAAATTGGAGTTTAGTCCGCCTAAACCACCAAATATGCTCGACGCGTTGGCATTGGCGCCGGTGCCGGTACCCGCCCCCAAGTTTAAATTGGCATTCATATTTGATGTCAAATTGGAACCCAGGTTTGAGCCTAGGTTTGAACCCATGTTGGTGCCCACACTTGTCCCCATGGTCGTTCCCAAATTGGATCCGATACCTAGTCCAACTCCTCCTGTGCTTAATCCGGTGCCCACTCCTCCAGCTCCAGCGGTGAAATTCGCACCGGTATTTCCCGAGCCCAACGAAAAACCAGACGATGTTCCAAATATATTCTTGCTGTCAGCCACTCCACCAAAATTCGTACCGGTCGATACGCTTCCAAAGATATTACTCGTGCTACCACTTTGCGTTGCTCCTCCTAATCCTGGAGTGGAAGAAACTCCCGTGGCAGCAGAATTCACCGATGTACTGTGACCAGCTGTTCCAACCTGTCCAAATATATTATTAAATTTATTTTGGCTCGTTGGCGTTGTCATGGATGATGAAAACACATTATTACCTCCCATATTGGCACTTGGAGAAGTTGTTGCACCGAAAAGGCTATTGCTACTTCCAGCTTGTGTACTTCCTGACATTGTCCCAAAAATGTTACTGCCGGTTTTATTTTGGCTACCCTGGACTGTGGTCCCGAAGAGGTTGCTACCCGTCCCAGTAGTTGCACTCGTCCCCGGTGTTGAGGACATTCCTCCAAAGAGGTTTCCACCCGTGGCTGGTTTTGCCTGACTGGCTCCGAAGCTGCCAAACATGTTGCTGCTACTTGTTGTGCCTTGGCTGGGTGATTGCAACGCTCCAAAAAGACCACCACTGGGCTTGTTCTGATTCATTGAAGATGCATTTCCGAAGAGATTTCCAGATGTTGTGTTGGTCGACGTGCTGCCGGACATCCCCCCGAAGAGAGTGCTGCTTCCCTTATTTTGGCTCATCCCACCGGTAGCGCTTCCAAACATGCTGTTACCCGTATTGCCCTGAGTAGACGATTGCAGCGCTCCAAAAAGACCTCCACCCTTATTTTGGCCCATCGATGATGCATTGCCAAACATGTTACTCTGTGCTGATCCTTGATTCGCCGTCCCAAAGGATCCACCAAATATGCTGCTCCCCTTATTTTGGTTCATGCCACCGGTAGCACTTCCAAACATGCTGTTACTTGTATTACCCTGATTAGACGTTTGCAACGCTCCAAAAAGACCACCACTGGTCTTGTTCTGATTCATTGAAGATGCATTTCCGAAGATATTTCCAGATCCTGTGTTAGTGGGCGTGGTGGCGGACATCCCCCCGAAGAGAGTGCTGCTTCCCTTATTTTGGCTCATTCCACCGGTAGCGCTTCCAAACATGCTGTTACCCGTATTGCCATGAGTAGACGATTGCAGCGCTCCAAACAACCCACCACCCTTATTTTGTCCCATGGGGGATGCATTCCCAAACATGTTACTTCCTGATGTTTGATTAGACTGAGACGATGGGCCAAATAAACTATTTCCCTTATTTTGATTAGCCGAGGCTAAATTTCCAAACATATTTCCGGAGCTCGCTTGATTAGACGACAAATTGCCAAAAAGGTTACTGGAAGATGGAGCAGAGCTCTGATTATTCTGTTGCATGCCTCCAAAAAGCCCTTTATTGGATAAGTTCGTTCCTGGAGCATTTAAATTTGTCGTTCCCCCAAAAATATTCTTCATGCCTAAGCCACTTTGATTACTTGAATTCATGAATAAATTATTTCCTCCCATATTTCCTTGATTGCCACTATTTCCTACACTTGACCCTCCAAAGATATTTTTGTTACCTAAGCTGGACTGACTATTCATATTGTCGTAGATCCCTTTATTTCCACTTAATACACTGGAGCTCGTGTTCATATTAAACAAATTCTTATCCACCAGCGCATTGTTCGATTGCGATGTTTTCGAAACTCCAAAAATGGACGAGTGATCCGTGTTCGGTAGGTTGGACTGGACGTTTGCATTTCCAAAGATCCCCTTATTTGCATTGTTTCCTTGGTTGTTAAATGATCGGAAGAGGTTATTCGACGAGGAGTTCTGCATATACATAGTTGTGAAATGGTATAAAAAGGAGATAAATATTTTTCTGGTGAAAAGAAGAGGGATGCCACAATTATTTTGATAAAAAATTTTCTTTTTCCTTTTTCTTTATTTTTGTTCATATGAGGTCTTGTTTTCCTGACTGAACATATGCTTCTCAACTCTGGCTAAAACGGCTGCACCGTTTTTGCCCCCACCCTTACGCGTTTCACATCAACGTGGAACTCTCGCTGTACTTATTACGCGTGCGACGTTTCGCTTGAATATAAACATATTCATACACGTCACTACATTGATGCACACACACATGGGTTTTACCGCTCTGGGTGAGTGCTTCCACTAACGCAGGAATGACTATCCGTCCGAAATTTGTTTTCCCAAAATGGTCGAACTTTCAGTCAATTCGAAACGGGCTGAAAAATTAACTTATCACATATGTTCATGTAACCGCTGCAATCGGGCCATGAGCAAAGGCATCTTCTCAAGTTTTAATGCGAACGATGAGATGATCCGCATGCACATATGTATATGCACAAACGGATAAGCACACATATACATATATATGCAGTTCACTTATATACACATTTCCTGGATTGGTCAAATTTTTCTCGCTGAGATACAACCCCAGTCACGAGCTTTCTTCCCTTATTTGGGGGAAAATACACATGCGAAACTTGTGCAATTTTCCCAGCAATAAGGCAACATTTGTTCTCTCCACAGTTAACGAAAAAAAAAAAAAATCTAAATGAAAAATAAAATATGTTGTTGCCTCCCTCCACGTGTCAACAGGTCATTATTGCAGCCGGGTAAGTTCTCATATCTCATGCATTGGGGGCACAACTACGCAAACGCGAAACAGTTCAATTGTACAAATGAACAAATGAACGCTGCACACGTACATTCACCCATCCGTACACGAGTACTTACGTATGTCGCGCATAGCAGTACTCCCGTGGGTGTTGGGCAATTTTACGCTCTGCTCTTATACAGTTACAAGTTTGCTAACCATCCCACTTGTATTAAATTTCCACTACTTATCGGCGGTCATTATTTCAAGTGGGGAAGGGGAAAAGAAATAAAACAAATGACATAAAAAACTCTCTTAATGGAAAAAAAAAAAGAAAGCCGCTTTTTACGCGCTATGAATATATATGTCACTTTAAGGGGAGAATAAAAATTTGAACGCAAAAAAAGTCCTTGCAATTATATAAAGGGGGACAAAAAAAAATGCAAGTAAAATAATCCAAGCGATTTGTATATGTTTAAAGAAGCGCAAAACAAATGAAATTTTGTAACATATGTGACATTATGCGAGCTACGGGAATTTGTAAAAACGCGTGAAAATGTACGACACGCTAGAGGGGCATAAAATGGCCTGAGTACATTTCACGTATGCACGGGAGCAACTTCCGTGCGCATTCGCGAAAACGTAATCCACGTGCTCGTGAAAATAAATAAAACAAGAATTAGAGCAAAAGACGCGCGGGGATACAAGCAGATGCCACAAATTAAAAATGGAAAAGGAAAAACCCCAGCTGAAAAAATTGAACATATACATACACGAATATGTACCTATACATATATAATACACTTCCACACAAGGGTATATATATACTTATACCGGAGAGGACCTTTTTTTCAGTGGCCAATTTTCCGTGTAAATAGTATGTTTACATTTTTGTGCCGCTTAGGATGCGCCTCTCTGACCGGGCGACATTCCAGGACGGGCTTACGTGCTAGGGCCCCCACAATCGCAGAGTGAAAAAACCTCGTCTGCGTTAAAAGAGGAAATTTTATTCCACAAAATTGGAACGCGCAAATGCGAAAAGAATGGCCAAATGAAAATATTAAAAAATGACGAAGTGCAAAAAAAAAATTCCAACCTGTACCAGTGGAGTGCGGCCGTGTTAAAGAATTTCTCCTTTTTTTTTCCTCTATCATTTGATAAACCGCATTTTATTAGATAGGACAAATGGTCCCACTCGAAATGAAAACACATAAAAAAGTGTTCCCCCGGGGAAATTTATCCAAGCCGATTCTTCAACCCATCCAGTTATGACAACTCGTGCAACCTTTAATTTTACGCAACGTACACCCGTGTTTGTTCACTTGGCAAACATTTTCATCGACCTTATCGCAGATGAGCTTTCTGCCCATCCTATGCGCTTATTCAAAAAGAGTCATAATGCGAACGGACAAACCGAGATCCTCCCCACAGCACATATCACCGTTTAACAGACATTCATTCAGGTTAAAAAAAAACACACAAGGTACGAAAAACTACTTTTCACTTGTACCGTTTAATGCCAACATGTTTTGGGTAGCAGTAAGTGATAATTCGCAAACGTAGTCATTTTTTTCTGTAATTCTTTTAAGTTAAACAGCATAACGAATTCGCGCTTAGCAAATAAGCAAAATAGGGAAAAGGAAAAAACTGAAAAAAAATTAGCCATAAACCTTTGGCAAGCATATCCTCAATTGGGTGTTTAAATATTCACATGTGCACGAGTGCTGATGTGGACGCGCTCATAGAGCACGCTATTGACATATACGCGGCGAGGCAGACACACACAGCGACACACGTGTAAATGTCCCTCGCTCAAATATCAAAATAGTTCCAAAAAAAAAAAAAAAATGGAAAAATAAAGTAGCTCGTATGACGATGGACCCAACTAATCGGGTGGAAACTCATCTGGTCACTCTGCGCGAAGTGAAGCTACGCGGAATTGAAGTTAACCTTGAAAAACCGCTTCATCGTTTCGTACGTCCCCCACGATATGGCCGAAGCAGGAATACACAGGGCCATTCTTGCCATGGATCCCTTGAAAAAGGAACGAAATCCCTCCTTATGATACAAGCTCGATACCACTCGACAAAAATTGAAACCTTTTGCGTTAAAGCACTGCGTCTGAATCCTGGTCTTAATGACGTCAAGTGGATTTGTTACCACGGCGGCTATTCCGCCACCAATTCCTGCACATACAAAATAGGATGTAATATGATTAAACGGTTTGTTAAAAAACTCGTTCTTCTTCCTCTTATTTGTATTATTATTATCATCATCATTATTGTAGTTTCCTAGCCACATATTCTTTAACTGCACATTATTGCATGTCGCCCCCGTAAAGTTAAAGGAGTCGCCTATCTTATGGTCATATTTTTCTGAAAGGTCCTTAATTGAACTGTTTTCTAATTTGTTGATTACATTTTTAAATAAAATTTCCTCGTTCGTCTGTTCCCCATGGAATGTTGTTTCGCTAATCAGCAAAATATGTTCCCCCCCATTTGGTGCGTACTTTTGCCCGCGACTTTTACTCAAATATTTCACGGAATCTGTGTCCTGCGCAATGAACAACTTGATCAATTTGTCACTATTGCCGCTAAGTTCTTTCATGCCGCTAAGTTCTTTCATGCCGCTAAGTTCTTTCATGCCGCTAAGTTTTTTTATGCCGCTAAGTTTTTTTATGCTGCTAAGTACCTTGTCCGAAGAACCGCCTACTTCGCCGCGTTTCGCTTCGCTATTGTGCAGACGGTACGCACCACTGCTCGTAGGCGTATTGTTGCTCTCCTCCTTTGCTTCGCCCTTGGTAGGTCCTCCTCCTGCAGCAGAGCCACTCCCATCGCTGCTCCCACCAGTTGTGCACGCACCTTGGCTGTTATTCCTATCCAATTCACTCATGCCGCAAAAATATTCAAAGTAAACTTTCTTCATTTTTTCATTTGTACATATCATAATAATTTGGTAGGGGATGTTCATGAGCAGGGTTATTGGCAAACTCAAATATAAACTCCTGATCCCATGTTCCCTTAGGATCATTATCGAATGAAGGGAGTTTTTGTTTATGCCTAATTGCAACCTCTGCTTTAGCGTATCTATGGGGGTGATAATCAAGTCGTGCGCGATGGTTGCTAAAAACCCTGACATGGCTATGCCAAAATAGTTTAGGTCTCCCAATTTGTACTTCCCCCCCTCAGTTTTCTTCGTATCAATATGGTGATTCCGTACCTCCAGGCGGCTACCCCCGTTTGCTCGAACTTGGATGGGCAAATTCTTAGAGCACATACTGGAGAAGTACTTCTTACTATATTCAAATGTGGAGAAATACATGGCATGCGCAGGAATGCATCCTAACACGACGACATTAACCCCCTTATACAGATTGGCAACATTGCTTCTTATCAAACTGCAGTTTTGCCTCGTTTTTATGTTCACTCCCTTGGACATATCTGGAAATAGGCTCCTAATGAAGTTGAAGCTTTTGCCATTTCTGCTAAACCTGGAGTAGCTAAAATTGGAGTTCCTATTTTTGTAAAAATTATTTTTACATGAAGAAGAGTGGATACTTCTGTCAAACAAGTTTCTGTAAATATAACTTTTGGTTACATAACATAGGTTATTACGAAATATGTTGTTATTGTTTCTTAACAGGGAGTAATAAGAATTGAAGCCATCCTTCCTCGTTATCATCACTGCTTTGGCATTAGACAACACCGGTGTGCCTATGGCAATATTGTAGCACTTGGTTGGGAGAAGAACCTTTTTTATATTTTCCAAAACGGGGGTGAAAAAATTGCATTTATTTTTTTGGAACATATAACTTTTTTTAAATGCCTCACTGGGAAGATAATGATCAAATTGGAGATTCTTACTTGTTCTTTGGAACAGCTTCAAATAATTACTTAACCTTGGTTTATTTCGGCCATCAGCATTACCACTACTTACGCATTTCTGTTGCGAGAAGATAAAAGAGAAATTGGTTTTCTTGCCCACCTTGTTAGACTCACTTATCAAATATCTCTTATCATTCGTCGTGCTTGGAACGGCACCACCTTGTAAACTCCTCAAAGATAGACCGCTGCTCCTCTTGACACACACCAAATGAGTGTTAGTGCTTCTGTTACTCGTTCTATGGGTACATCTTTGCAAAAGATCATTTAGTAAAACATTGTTTATCTTTCTTATCCCCATTAAATTCTTTTTTATTATATGATTTGCCCCCACATTGCGGAGAAGAGGCTTCATTTCAATGTAACCCTTCTGTGAAGGATTACAATTTTTCACTGTTTCGCCATTTGCGGAATATTTATGGTACTGACTTTTCCGCCCCGATATGGATGCATCGTTCCTTCCATTCTTGAAAATAATTCTCCCTGTGACTTTTCTTAAGCCCAAGTGATTAATTTCTGTGCAATTAACTGATGAGGAGCAACCATCCTTCTTATAATTGTTACATATGAGCTTATTCGTGTAGCCTCTACGCTGCCATTTCGTAGTAGCACTAGCAGACCTGTCGTAAGTTATTCCAAACCTTTGGAAGTTTGTCATTTCTTGCTTTGTTAGTACAGTTCCTCCGCTTCTAGCCCTGCTTAAGGTATTCCTCCCCATCATCCTAGGACTTCTGGCTAATGAATGGATTTTCATATTCTGGGAGTTACCCACCGCGCAGCTGTCACCAACAGCCCCAGGAGGTTTATCAAACAAATTGCATGCTCGATACTTTCTTAATCTGACCAATTGGTTATACTGACCGCTATCCCAGTTGTTCTGGTTAACACTTATACTCTCGGCAGCAAACTCTTTATTCATTACTCTACTATGGTATCTGTGAGGTTGAAATTTTCTATTCACTACCTGGGCCCTTACTCCCCTCTGTTCTACATTTAAACCGCCGCAAAGGAATTTTCTCAAATTTTGTTTACTCTTTCTCAATCCATCTGATGTAGCACCAAGTGTGCTGGCGTGGACAACACGTTTTTTATTAAGCGGAGCCATCATCTTGATGTTGCAAAAATTGTCATAAGTACATGTCTTCTTATAAATACACCCATCACATCCTCTAGACGTGCAAAATTTTTTCTTATCCACATGCAAGCCACTTTTGTGAGCCTTTATTTCGTTGAAATTGTTCCCATTACCATTTTGGCTGTACATGTTGCACAGGTCGTACGCCCTCCTGCTGCCTTTCAGACGATCGTTCGTTTGTATATACGTTTTAATCGTGTCCAGCGGGTACATAAAAACGTGCTCCATCAGTCCTGCTATACTTCCACAGAATATATGTTGCCATAGGGGCACATCTCCTTTGTACTCTTCCCATTCTTCCCAAATGAAATCAAAAGACTCAATTTCGATGCCATCAAAGGCGTCGTTTACGGATAGCTCGTTCATCTTACTTTTACTTTCCCGTCAATTTAGTGTTGCCTCTCCAGTGCTACACAATTGGCGATGTTTCGGTTATTCAGTATTGTTATTTTTCTTTTCTTCTTTTTTTTTTTTCCTATCATATCCTAATCAATCTACATTACCTTTTGCTGGCTCGACATGAAAGATTGCACACGTTATTAACACGAAAGGGAGCCACTTTCCAATTACAATATATCTCCACCTCATTACTCTTCTATGTACAAAGGCCAAAGGAAACACGGTTTCATTAGAAAAAAAAAAATAAAATAGGTTGCAAATGTCTCAATAAACATGTCAAAAAGCAAAGATGGATCTTTAAATCTGCTTCAGTTCCCCTTGGTTATGTTAGAACAAAATTCTACTACATGTGGTTACAACACCAAAAATGCTTTTATCTTAATAACGAAGCTTTCTCAAGTGCAGCTAACTCACCATGAAGATACTTACGAGTATGTGCAGGGGCCCATATATATAATGGCAAATGGGGGCGAGGTAAGAAAAATTGCAGCTTTTAAATTTGGCTAATTAAAGAGTACAAAAAAAAAAATGCACGAATAAATGAAAAAAAAACAAACAAACAAAGGTGAAAAGTCAGAAGTTAGGTATTAATTCAAAAACTAGGAAGAAGGCGAACGAAGGGAAAGGAAAAAAAAAAGGCATTCACTCATAATATATCTATATAATAAATATATAAGCGCTTCATAATGTGTAGCACTATACATATGCAGCAAAGTGCCTGGAGAATTTTGCTAGCCCCTCGTGATGAAAATGCATAGTATAAAAATGTATCCTCATAAAATTCTTAAAACTGTTTCATGTCACTCTGCGCTGAAGGGTTATACATACAAAGCTTTAGCGAGGAAAACTCGGCGTAGGCATAGCATCTCAAACACGTGGCTCCTTCATGCGCAAAGGTAGTTCGTAAAAATAGGCGCATTCAGGCGCATGCAATACGATGTATGTAAAAAGCTCGTATGCTGCTCCTAAATATAATTCACGAAAATTCTTGAACGACAAGATTCTGGAAAGTGCATATCACAAGAAAGCAAAACAAAACGCGCAAATGATGTTCTATATTAGCATGAAAAAATATATAGGAACGAAAAAAAAAAAACAAAAATCCACGTTTCCGTGAAAATAAAATCACAACAGGCCGCTTAAGTAATTAAAAAAAAAAAAAACAAATCAAATCAAAGCAAACGCAAAAAAAAAAAGGGAAAATTACTTTAGCATCTACACACTCCTATTTTAAGCATGACGTTTGGAAAATCACCCTTTTAATATATCTTTTTCGTGAGAGACGGGAAAGATATTTTCACAAATTACAAATGCGCAAACCGCGTTCGCATAAAATATTTAAAAAAAAATGTAAAATACGAATAAAATTACATACTATTCTGCGCATTCGAAGGGTGTTTTTCTGTCGCAGGAAAAAAAAGGCAACTTTGGCAAAGGATAGGATACATAACGAGTAAGAGTACATGCAAATTCAAACGTACGAATGCATACATGCTTAAGAAAATCACAAAGAAAAGTAACTTCTTAAACGGAACAAGCGAGTCCACAAAAATGTAACTTGCTGCGGCATAACGTCGTAAAACGCCAGGCAGAGGGACGCACCATAATTTTTGACGCACTGCGCGACGGTCAAATGAGAGGTACCAAACAAAAACATCTCAATCAAAAACGCATTCACAGAAAGGAGGTGTCAAACCTAACCGCAAATATTTTGCAACTTAAAGAAAAAATAATTACACGTTGGAAACAAAATTCAGTATACTTCCCTTTGACTTTTAAAAAAGTGTTCTCATATATGTATATATATGCATGTACATGTGTACAGTTTGCGGGAAAAACAAATTAGCAACGAAACGTCGCACAAAAATTAGGCTATTGCGACCCTGCCTGGCCCCTTCAACTCGTTACACATAACGCAAGGAGGGGAGCAAATGAACACGCTGGCATAAGAAACGAGGGAAAACTGTTGGGTAGACTTAAAAGCTATTGCAGCGCTGTAATGCCTAAGCCTGGATATAAAATTGTGTGATAATTTTTCGTGATGGTAAAGTGTATGCAGAGGTGTGTGTATAATAATATAGATATAAACGCTTTTTCGATACAGCGCGCTTAATGAGCATATCTTTCGAATGATAAAAGGAAAAAATTAAGGGGGTAAAAAGGTTTTATGAGCTTTACGCTAATAAGGCGCCAAACCGCTGCAAGGATTCGCAGAAAATAATTGAATTAAATTGAATTGAATTAAATTGAATTAAATTAAATAAAAATGATTTTTCTGATCCCTTTAAAGCGAACTCATGTTGCCTCTTCAGACTTGACCAGGTGTTTTTTTTTTTTCAAATGTTCAAAAAGGACGCATTTATGTAGACAAAAAGGTGAGTATTTTTATTTCGAAGAATATGCTACAAAGCGTAAAAAAAATAAAGGATATTTACATCTTACAAGTTTTATATCGTTTGAAATTTCCTTTTTGGATAAATGTTAGAGAAGGAAAAAAGTGCCAAAGTTCATCGCATCCTCTTCGTTAAGACTTCCTAATTTTTTTAAAAAAAAAAACGAATTCGTGGTACTCATAAAAATGAGTTAAATAAAAAAAAAAAAAAACAGCTAAAAATGGGCACAAACGAAGCGCTATAAGGAACGACAGTTGAACAAAAAAGGGGGGCAAAATTACATGCATTCGGATAAAGCCACATGAGGGACAAGCAGAAAAATGGTACTTCTTATTCCCCGCCGAACAAGGATAAAAAATGGAAGCCCTCGTCAGGGGATATTTTTTCCCCATTTTTAAGAAAGGCCACTCAGGGGCGCGAAAAAAAATTACCACACGTGTGTATGCGCGTGAAGGTATGCATTAGGCATATGCGGACACGAGAACGCTCAAATTGTAGGAAATTTCTGTTGGCACTCCTCCGCTGACGCGTTTCCGCCGCTATAATTCAGTCTGCATCCCCTAGTCCTTCGAACAAAGCAGAGACGTGCCGCGCAACTTCCATATGGACGGGTCCACATCTGTCTTCAAGTGGATTCGGAAAATAAAGTACTTGTCCGTGCGCACGTTGTACTTATACACGGGGCAGTTATAAAACATATGTTTGTTGTTTTCGATAAACTTCACCTTCTTGTCCTTGTTGGACACGACGGTGATGTGAATAACGGGCATGTTCTCGCATAGCACCTTGGGGGAACTCTCCTCCAGTTTTCCCTCTTGCCAATTCCACTTGGACCCTTCAATGAATAAACCATGAATGTGAAATCCGTGCTCAGGGACTTCCTTAATCTTCTCAATATCGTGATTTTTAATATCAGCATATAGCACCACTTCGTCTAGCGAAATCTGGTCCTTCTTATTTAAACGCGTAATCTCTTGTTTCATACTCGTTAGGAACCCTTGAGGGTTAAAAAAGCCAGGTAGCCAATAAGACTTCAGCTTTCCATTATGAATATAATTCATAATTTGTTCATATCTTAAATTGAGAATGTTTAACCACTGATTTAGGTTGTGACATACCCATGAAATTTCGGTTTCACTAGCATCATAGATCCACTTTTTTGGTACGGACTGGGAGTAAATATATTTCGTGTCATTTTGTAAATCAGCTGTCATTATTTTGGAGCCATCGATTGCACTGATGATGTCGTTTAAATTTGTTTTAACCAAATCGATGACTTTCTTAATTCTTTCACTTTCTTGTAAGAAGAAAACTTGTAATGGGGAAAAATTATATTGCACATTTTTTTCCCCTTCATTGTTACTTTCCCAATAGGACACTCCCAGGCTATGGTACACATCATTCTCTTTCGCTATCCAAAGGGTGTTCTTATTTTTATTGTCCGACGCTGCAGCTGCGTGTTTGGTAGCATTAGCTGTCTCACTCAGAGGATTGTTCACCATTGCACTTCTTTGTAGCATATTTTCGCTAATATCTGAATTTTCCTTGTTCTTCCCCTTATAAAAGCTGCTCTCCAAATTTGAAAAATTTTTGGTAGTTGCATTCAAGTTGGCTGTTGCATTTATCGGTTGGTTTGTCTGAATGGTTAGCTGCTGATTTTTGTTCTTTCTGTAAATAATTTTTTTTATTTCTTCCAAGTTTATTTCCGTTGGTAAGGTTAGCAGGATACCCCCGGCGATTTCCTTCACCACCGTTTCCATGCTCTTCTCCTCCCCTTGGTCCACATCCCTCGGCTGGATTTCCAAAATAGAGTTTAAAACCTGCCTAGACTCATTCACACGGTACGTTATTTCTGCGTTGTTGTGAAGGTCCAGAACAGAGGGGGTGTCAATATTTGGCAGTTTCTCGATAAAATTCTGGAAGTTTGTAATTTCGTAAAATTTTGGCATATTGTGAAAATTTTCCAGACCCGTTTCATTTTTCATTTTGAACAAGTCTTCATTAAAATAATGTTGCACGTAGGTTAGGAGTAATTCCCTGTCCAAGTCATCTGTTACCTTCCCTCCGTATTGCACTTCTGCCAACATATAATGGATGGATTCCCAGTCGATGGGTCGGTTCACTAGCAGAGTAGAATAGAGATGTTTCTCAATAAACAGAAAGGAAGCAAACAAATCGGTGATGCTAAATTCGTACGGCACACACCATCCCAATGGCCCAAACTTCTTTCTTTCGCATAAAACGCAGTGCAGGTAGGATAAGGAATATATAATTTTCCTATACTTTTCATCGTCTATTTTTTCCAATATATCTTCCTTTACCATATCTTTATATATTTTCCTCATGTTATTTTTTATACCGCTACTCAGCGATGTAGATATTTTAATACTTCCATGCAGGATGCAAATAGGAAATTCATCATCTGGCTCGGATGTCAGAAATAATCGGAAATCTTCCTCAATTTCGTTCAACTTTTTTAGCATATTATAAACTTCGATGATGAAATTTTTATTTAAATGACAATTTTGTAAAATTAGCCAGTTTCCACTGATAAGCGCATTTTTTAACTTTTCCTTTGCGATTATTTCTTGTCCTTCTCCCATGGAAATTTTGTCTGTAGGATATTTCTTAAACTTCTTCGCGAAATCGTCTATCATGTTTGTGGGGTCGCTAGCCAAGGATAGCAAAAATAAAAAGGGCTTCCTATTACTCGATTCGACGAATATATTTTCCAGAGTCTCATGTTTTATCGTGTCACTATTTCTGCTTAGAACTTCGTCCACAAATTTATTTGCACACAGAATGGTCCGGTCCTCCCTCAGGCAACGAATAAGGCAGAGCTTCATAAATGAGCTGATTTTGCTATTTACATCTAGCCTTTCGTTATAGTATGGAATATTTTTATTTTCTATATCTAGAACATCATAGTAATTCTTCCACACGTTTTCGTTCAGCTGCACTATATTCACGATGTCGTAAAAGAAGCGATTGTTTTTGTCATTACCGAAGGAGTGGTTGGATAGAGAAATAATATTTTTATATAATTTTTCGTTCTTTAATAGCCACTTGGTGGAACTTATTTTGTTTTTTCCCCCCTTTCTGGGAGCCTCCATTTTGTTCTTATTCGCGCATTTGTCTGTGCTGGGAATACCTGCGTTGTTGCCACAGCCGCTATCAATATCGCCCCTAGTACCCGCGGCAGTAGAACCAGTTACCGCACCGCTGCTTCCACTCGCGCTTTTGTCACTTTTAGCATTTTCGATTCCTCTTGTCTTATCGCTTGAGCTCAGATAAACGTCCGCAGCTCCGTCCATGACGCCACTGGCGGTGTTCTCCTTCTTTTTGCCCTTGGACGCATCCGCGTTTTCTCCCAGCAAATTATTACTGAGGAGTTCGCTACTAATATCGTTCGAAGGGCTGTAATGAGAGAGAGGGTTTAGGAAAAAGCTGATGTCCTTATTACTAATGACATTATCGTACAGGAGAATCTTCAAAGATATTAACAATTTGAAGATAATTTTATGCTGATCGAATAGACACCTTTCCATGTAGCAAATGATCAGATTGGTTAGTGTGGATAGAATGGATTCAACTCTTTTCTTAATGTGCTGTCCCTTCTCAGCTCTCTTTATAGACAAGTCAAACTGCTCCAGAAATTGATGCAAGGATGTGTTATATATATAGTTCACATTGGTAATGTCGACGATGCAGAAGTATAGGATACTTCCCCTCAATGCCACACTCCTGTATTGCTCTCTCTTTTCATTAATTTCTTTTTTCTTCTCATTACTATCTTTTAATTTCGTTTCTAGCTCTTTGGATAGCAATTTGGTGTTGTTCAAAACTTCTATTAATTCCTCGTCTTCTATCAGATTAGAGCTACTCGTGTTCAGCTTGTATAAGAGCTGCTTGTCAAGGTCCTGCAACGATTTGGTGTTATCCTTAAGTTCTATTATAATATTTTTTAAGGACACTTCCAGATGTTTCTGCTCTTCAGTTAGAACCCTACCCAACAGCTGGTCTTCCAACCCCTTAACCGTAACGGTAAAGTCAATAACACAACATTTGGCATAAATTTCGGGGCTATAATTCGGATTGGGCAAATTGGTAGTCATAAATAGGTTAAAGTTTTCGTCAAAATTGATTAAGTTGTTTTCTATTAGTATGTAATTTTTCTTCCCCTTTTTAATGATTTGCTTCTCCAGGACGGAGTCCAATATAGGATCGATATACTCTTCAACATTTTCTATAAGTAAAGTTTTTCCTTCACTAAGACAGAACTCCAAATTGTCCTTAAACTTGCTACTGTTAAATGTAGTAATACATCTATGATTGGATAAATCGTTTTGAAATTCCTTGTTCTTTATCCAGTTGCTGGCTTGGCATTGCGGATCGATGAGCAGAACGTACTTATTGCTGTTTTCGCTAATCAGTGCATTCTCAATGCTAAGTCTATCATTAGGCAATTTCTGAACACTCCAGTCGCAAATTTTTGTGTCAGCTGACGATAGGACATACTTTATCACATCGATGTTGTCTGACACGGGAATGTTTTTTATATTCTTCGTGTAGTGATAGAAAACTTCATTCATCAAATAATTTCTGAACTCTGTGTTGAACATGCCGCAGTAGGAAATGAAGGAGGAGGAGATAAAAACATCTCCAACGATTTTCTTCTTGATGTTGGAAAAGTTGTTAGAATCTTCTGTCCACCTTGCCTTTTCGCTACCCAAGCCGTTAATTAATTTGTTGGCTTGTTCAATTCTTTGTTTCGTTTTTAAAGCTGTTTCTTCGAGAGTTTTCTTTTTCTTAAACATATTTTCAATGTCTAAATTGAGATTGTCAACAAATAGTTGCGCTTTTAGCAGCGAGTCTTCCGCTTCCGCTAGCTGTTTCAGAGCATCTTCCAGTCTCCCTGTTTGTATCTTCAAGTAACTCATCTTCGGTTTTACAATTTTCGATGCTTGGTTATACATAGCCATGGCGCCAACCCATTTGCAGAGTCCCTCCGCGGCAACAGAAGCCTTCTTTGCAATTTGCGTCTTGAAAAAAGAAGACTCAATGTACGGTTTTAACAACTCAATAGTTTCCTCATTAATGTTATCCTTTTCATTTTTAGAAAAATCGAACAGAAGATTTAAGAATCGAATGTCAGCCATTAGCGGTTTGGCATATTCATCAAAAGAATCTTGGATAAACTCCACATGTTGCTTATTTACATACTTTACACTAATTTTCGGTTCCTTTAACTTCCCCTGCAGTAGTATCAACACCCCATCAAAAACGATACGAATGATATCAGATGGCGTTTTCATACTCTTCAATTCGGTTATATCCTTGGCAGTGATACTTTTGATGGCTTCCTCGGCTTCATGCAAATATGGCAATGCTGCTTTGAGATCCTTATCTGCTTCTTCTTGTTCCTTCAAAATGATGTCCTTTTCCTTTATGCACTTATCTCTAAATTTGGACACTTCGATGCTTTGTTTTTCTGCCTTTAGGGATTCCTTCTTTACCTTTTCCAGGAGCACATTGGTTTGCTCATCTGATTCTTTTAATTTTTCTTCTTCATTTGTGAGACTTTCCCTCATTTTCTGAACATCCATGGCAGCCTCGTTCAGTTTTTTTAACCCTATATCTACACTTTCTTTCAAAATTTGAATTTCTTCATACTTTTTCACGTACATTTGTTTGTACAAATCTATGAAAGATAAATAGGACTTGGGCGTCACATACGTATTTCTTCTCATTCTCTCTTTGTATGTTTCACACGTGTCTGATACTTTCTTATGGACAATAGCAAATAGGTTGAAAAAGTCGTCTCTGAGTTTCTCCTCAATGTCGATGTTGAAATTGTTAAGGTACGCTGTTGACACATTTACAAGGGCTTCTAGGGGCCATTTCAAAAACCAGTTTATGGTGACACAATTGTATATGCACGGAAATTGCTGGTACCGTAAAGCAAACTCTTTATGGATAGGAGAGAAGCACAGAAATATGTGAAGATTGTTTCTAAAATTGTCTAACAAATAATCAAAAATGACATTTGACGATACGTTAAAATCGTTTATTACTTTTTCGTCTTTTTTTTTCCTAGTTTCTTTCTCATTGCTCATGTAATCACTGTCGTTGTCGGCGCTGCTCGTCGAGGAGGTGTCACTTCTCAATTGTGAATCTTTGGAGTCGTTTTCCATATCCATGTCATCCATATTGTAGTCATTCTTTTTATTTTTTTTCTTTCCCCCCGTACCTCTCATTTTGGACGACTGGTTCATCTTGTTCATTTCTTTCAAGTAGGACTCCTTCATTTCGGCGCAGATGGCCTCCTTCTCATCTTTAATAAACAGTCCGTACACCAGCCCAGTGGACAGAATCGAATTCACATGCTCCAGTATGAAGTCGTTCTTCTCTATGTCGCTATCGCTTAACAGAAAGGTTGTCTTCTTGTTCATTTGCCCCGCAGATATGTACAAACTTTTTAGGTCCTCAAAAAATAAATTTTTCGTATACGTCTTGGTTATATTTAACTGAAACAGTACTTGCTCGCTGATAAAGACACTAAGCTTGGTTAGTGACCTTTTCCCAGACCCACCGACGCCTACCAGCATGCTGGATCCCTTGGGTGTTTCCATAATTCGGTTAATGACAAGCAGATGTTTTAGCGAGTCATCAAAGAATACCAAATCGAGCTTTTTCACATTGTTCATATTGTATTCCTTCATATATTCGTAGGCAATATATCTTAGCCTTTCAAAGTCTGCAACCATTTTGTAGTCTTTTTTCATCCAAGAGAAGGAAAAATTGTTCAAATTTTCTTCTTCGTCATTTTCCGCCCTTCCGATTTCTACATTGAGGTTATTCTTTGCAGATACGGAGGGGCTTCCCATTTGTATCTTATTCCTTTCTGCTATGTTTAAGTTTTTACTCTGTCCATCTTTTCGATTTTCCTTATTTAAGTACCTATTTGGACTGTTGCTTCCTCCCCCTGTGGCGCTACTATTCGAGTCATTTACACCTCCAAGTGGACTCTCTCCTTTGCTCTTTTTCGTCTGGTGCACAGTTTCTATAAGGTCATTTTCGATCATGTACTCAATCTGCTCCTTTTCTGACACGTAGAAGTAGCTAAAGTGTATGCTCTTTTCCGCTATGTCCTTGTGAGATGGATAGTACAGCTTAAACACTTGCTTCAGTTGATCTAGAGAGAAATTTTTATCTTCCATCCGTGAAAGCTTATCAATTAGGACCCTCTCACACTCGTGCTTCCACAAGCATAAGAAATTGTGCAGATTGTTATCTATAGTTTCAAAAGGGCACAGTAACATGGAGTAAAATATTTTGGCCAAATCTCTCGTTGTATATAAGTAATGAAAACGAGAAGGAACAGGCAGAAGATGCTTTTTCAATCTGCTAAACAAGTTAATGGTGCACAGAATTATCTTTTCTATATTGTCTACAATGTCGTCCGAGAAACTCCTCTTCTTATTAAATTTGGTTCTAAGCACAGTGCCATAAATTGTGTTTATCGAATTCAGATTGTAAGGAGGTATATTCACGTTGAACCATTTGGACTTTAGCCTTTTTGGTATGTCATTGTTTCCACAGCCTGGGTGGTTAATGCACCCTATGTATTCTAAGTCAATTATTTTTTTAAAGTTTCCCCTTTTGTCTTTATCTAAAAAGTAGAACCCCTGAAATTCGATCAGCTGTCTCAGCAGCTCCAAGGTGCTTTGATCTCCCCATTCGTTAATCTTAGGCATAGACATATCGTCTATGAAGATAATAGATTTGGTGTTTCCGATTGGCCCATACGTCTTTCCACTTTTCCTTTCCAGTTCGGATTCGATAAAGAGTTGAAATTTCTCCGGAGTCGTGACACTTGAAAAATTGAACCTCTTGGTGTTCTTCTCCTGCTTAGATGTATACAACAATGCTATAGACGTCTTTGCCGAACCGGTAGAACCCAACAGCAACGTACTTTTGTACGTATGGAAATTGTGGCACTTAATAGGTATATTAGAAATTAATTTTATTATATGTTCCACTTTGTTCGTTTCCATGGTTGGAATCAATATTGAGGAAATGGAGTTGATATTCTTTGGCATCTTAAACGGGGCTACATTCCACTTGGTTAACTTTCTTAGCTTCATGTCAAAGTAGTAGTCATAAATGAGGCATGTTTCTTTTTCGAATTCGTCCTCCGCATCATCTCTGTCGTTTTCTGGAGAAATCTTTTCATCGCCTCCCATTTTGGAATCCACGCTTTTGCTAGCATTGTTCGAATTTTTTCCTTCCCTGAGAAGAGCCTTAACAAATGGCACGTTTTTTACTAAGAAGTTGTGCACCTTTAGTCTGTCTCTGTGCTCCAGCAAACCACACAATCCCCACAATACGGCGTACAGCATTATTTGTTCGCACTCTTCTGCCTTGATCTCTTCGTATTTGGTTCCAGATGTTATGCTGAAATTGTTCAGGGTGTCCATCTTGTCATTTTCTTCTTCGTCTTCCTCTTCCTCTTCCTCCTCGTTTCCATCCTTCGGTTCTGCAGCGGAAACTGCAGCAGTCACGAATGGACCACTTTTGCTGGACTCATGGCCATTCCCGCCGTCTTCCCCCCTTTGTTTTTCCTTCCCAGGCAAGTCCTGCTTAGCACCTCCACCATTTGGGAGCTGCCCCTTGGAGTTCTCCCTTGGTGCTCTTCCTCCCTTTGCGTCGCCAACTTTCTTGGCAATTTTACTTCTATCGCTAGTCATAGGTACCGTTTCTTTTGCTTTCATCGTTTCCACTTCCTTCCCCTTTTTTCCTTTCATAGCCGAGAAGGACGAGACAGCGCTACTGTCAGTCTTCTCATGGGGGGCAGCCGCCCCATCGGATGCCTCCACGTGGTGTTTCTTCACAACCTTATTACTATGGTGCAGCAAATTCTTCTCATTGGAGTTGCAGAAAAATATCTTGTTCAAATCTTCCTCATTATATATAAAGTTATTAATGGCATTCACATACTGAATCAGCTGCGTATTCAACAAATTGATGGTCTGGGAAATTAAAATCGAGTCGGTAACTTCCATCACGAATTTGCAGTTCTCCTTGACAAAATTTAAAACTTGAATTCTGTCCAAATAAAAAATAAAAAGTTTGTTAAAAATGGGGAATAAGGTAGCTCCATAAGTATGCACATCCTTCAATTTTTGCAGCCAGCTGTAAATGAATGGCTTATAACCCAAATCGCTGTCAGATATGTAGACAATACCAGCCCTACTAACAGTGGCGGGAGAAGCATTATTCAGGTTCTCCACCTCGAAGGCTATCTTCGTATTGTCAGTCATAGGAATTCTATCATTATTAGCTAATGTTAATATCTTATTGTCATCCAAAACGGTGTTTAAGTTTTCGATCCAAATAGCGTCCACGGGTCCATCACACACAATCCAAGTACTGTACTTCAAATTGTTGTTATTATATTTTTCCCATATATTTGCGAAAATACCTGGAGTCCATTCTTCACTCAAATTATCCTTCACCCCATACATATGCTCAGACGTTATAGCCTTCGGGTTTAGTGTAATAATTTTTGTCACATTTCCTATATTAGTTAGTGCAGAAGTGAGTATGTTTAATATTTCTGTCTTTCCCGTTAGGGTGTTTCCTACTAGCATGAACCCGTGACGAACTAGCGAAGTTTCATATAGCTGTAATATTTTCAGAATCCACTTACTCTTTGCGCACAGCTTTTTTTTATTAATAATTTGGTGCACATTTTCTTCAATCAATTGGTAGCTCTTCTTTGTGATGTTGTGAAACTTTGGAAAAACATCATTCAATAGGGACAAAAATAACAACACGTCATCGTAAATTAGCTTGGAAAGATTCATATCCCGTAAGGTTCTCATTAAAAGCATTTCTTCATCGTTTTCATTCGCCCCTGCAGCTCTTTTGGTGTCTCCAGCGGTACGCAAGACAGATAAAATGTTCCTCAACCCAAAATCGTAGTGCTTCTGCTTTGACAGCTGCTCTTCGCACAAATTGTAGAGCGACTTAAATTTGTTGCTTAAATTGTCTATATCTAGATACCCCACCGATGCTAACTTTACCTTTATGATAATTTGTCTATCTGGCACCATCATCGAAATGAATCGAAAAAATATTTTTAAATTCTCTGGCAACAGTTGTCTTCCAGCATAGCCTGGATTCATGGTGATAAAATAAGCGGAGGATGGATTCAAATTAATCGATTTAGAGTCACCTGGAAAGAGAAACGATTTTAAGGACTGCTTCTTTGCCGTTACGATGGACTCGATCTGCATGGCAACCACGGACAGAACGTCCAAGTTAATTCGGTTAAATTCGTCGAAGCATCCCCATAACCCACTTCTACACAGCCCTTTAAATATTTTTGCCATATCTTTATACTTATGTTGATTTGAGCAGTTTGTCACAATGACGTATATCCCTAGAGTTCTTCCCAAATCCTTGACCGTTTCTGTTTTCCCGGTTCCCGCAGGTCCTGCTGGAGCTCCACCATAGCATAGTCCTAGTGCCTGCGCGCAAGTGAGATAGCACCTATCCGTTAGCGGAGTTATACACAGCCTTTCCTTAATACCTAGATATTCATAAGAGTATAGGAAATCAACATCCGAAATGCTAATCAGAATGACATTCTTCTCCACTTTGTAATAAATTCTTGTCTGTTTTAGCCAGTCAAAATCGGTGCATGTTTTGATTTTATATTCCTTTATCTTTGTTGAAATTTCGTTGAATAAATCCCTCTGATGGACATGTATAGTAACCAGCGTCTCATATTTAGTTCTGTTTAATTTGGTTCCCAAATCGGAAAGACAAATGTTCACTAACTCGGACATTATATAATTGATTTTCTTGTTCGTCACTTTTAATATGTTTTTTTCCGAATGGTACTTATGGATACATTTTTCTATATCATTTGTCCACATGACTTGTAAGCATATGAGAGCAACCTGTGCAATGTTCTTATCACAGAATTCTTTTAAATTCACTGTCTTGAATAGTTGCGCTGAATTGGCTACCCCTAGCTTGCACTCTTTTTTCACCGCCTTTTGCATCTCCTTCTCGAGCAGTATCAGCCAATTTTCTATATTTCCATCTATCGTTACATGGTTGACTAACTGCACCGTTTCGATATCATCCTTTTCTTTATTATTTATACAAATAATTCTTTTCTTGTTCTGTATGGTCTTTATAGTCAGGTAGTTTATAGCGTCGAAGAGTTTGATTAACTCGGATTGAATTATGTTAATGTCAGATCCTTGAGATAGTATTTTTAGTAACACCAGATTGGACACGAAGTAGAAACGGGGAAATTTGCTCCTCTTCCCCTCTAAGTACGATTCTAGTGACTTCTGGCAGCTCTCCAGCCCTTTCTGCATATTCGGCAAGAGCTCCTTTAGCATACTGCTTTGGCAGCATTCTATAACAATGGAGGATTCGTTCGCAATGTTTATTATGTTAATCCAGTCTTTGTCAATTTGGTGGAACCTCTTAGACTCTATTGGAATTTGTCTTGCTATGTCCCCACTTGTAAAGACACTCTCCATGGAGCACCATAGCATCTGCACTTTAATCCACCTCTCGACAATATCACTGCAGTCAGACAATTTGTTCAATAGCAATAGCAGTTTACTCTTAAATGGCTTGCTATACTTTGTCGAATTGATATTGTTTAGTAAAATTTGACTTTCTTCTAAGCTCTCTTGTATTTCTGTCACTTTGCTTCCCACCAGGATGCATGCATAGTCCCTGTTTTTCCACTTGCTAAACTGGAAGCATGTTTCGTTCCATATTTTATACTGCTCGTTGATCTTTTCCTCAATGTTGGCCTCCTTCTCCGCGCTGTCGCAGATGTCCAGAATGTCATCCTTCTTTTGCAGCAAGTTGTAATTTATTATATCTTTGATGAAGAAGTCCATGTTATCTAGGTCTAGCTTATTTAAATTGTCTATGTATTCTTCCTCGTCGACGCAGGCGCTTTCGATGAGCATGCCCCGATCGAGGGTTTTCTCTTTCGGAAGGGATTGATCGGCACTCTCAACAGCATGCGCCGTTCCTCCATCGGCCCTCCACACAACCGCTGTAACAGCCGTGTCTTCCGCCGTAGACACCGCTCCCTTCTCGTCGCAGCTGCCCTTCTTGCCCTTCTTCTCCTTTGCAGCGCTCTCCTTCTTCTTCTCCTTCAACACACCGACAATCTCGACCCAGTGGCGCTTCAAAATGGTCTTCTTCTCCAGCTCGTCCACAATGGGCGTGATCTCTTTAAAGTAAAAAATTTCCTTCATCAAGTTCTTGTAAATCACGATCATCTTCAAGTTCTTGGGGAGCTGAGAGCATTTCTTCTCGAAAGACAGAATCTCATTTTTCAACTCCTTCATTTTTAGAATTCCCTCGTTCCACTTTAAATTTTTCCACTCGTTCAGCTTCTCCTTCAGTTGCACGTACAAATCGTACAGAGAGTAAAAATTATTTATCTCCGTTGTGCTCAGAAAAAGATCATCATGCTGTTGGTGCTTTAGACCGAATATGGACTCTCCCTTATAGTAGCTATTGTACCTTTTCTTTAGCATGGAGATTTCTTCCTTGTATCTCTTTAAGAGTTCGAATGCGTTGAGCGGATTGATATGTTCACTTTTGAAATTCATTTTTAGGAAATTTTCTCGAAACGTTTTTATGTCTTCCTTAAAGTTATAGATGTTATTCATTAACTCATTTTTCATGATGCTTTTTTTTTCTTGTATTTCTTCTTCCACATTTCTTGTCAAAGATATGAGCTCGTTAAATTTGTTAAAAATGACATTTTTTTTCTCCACCTCAGATTTGTACAAGGAGAGAAATTTCTTTTTCATCCCATTTAGCTTATTAAATGTTTGTAGAAGGTTTTTATTATACGACTCGTCCATTTCATACATCTCGCTGGACGATTTCCTCTTATCAAGATTGCTTATAAATTTCAGCTGATAATTTTCCTCTTCGTCGTAATGACCAGAATTCCTCATCGATTCGACATGCTTCTTCAAAAAATTGTTCATGTAAAATTCCAGCACGTCTACCATTTGATTTATAGGATTTAGCGCAATATCTATGGTTGACTCGAAGATGTGTATTTTTTTTATAACGTTGATGACGTAGTACAGCGAGTCTACATCGACAATATTTTTTTTCAACTTTGTCTTATATTCACTCATTTTTTTTATGAGCATGTCGCTTTTTCTCTTAACCGGTTGTATGACTTTATTTGCACACTGTAGAGCTTCATTTTCGATTATATTTATCAAGTACATTTTGAAGCTCTCCAGGTTGAATCTGAACACATTAATTGAGTAGAAGCTGTCTATGTTGTTGATTTCCTTTTTTATGTTTATGAATTTTTTTATCTTTTCTTCTTCTTGGTCTATTTTTAATTCGTCCTGTTCTTCATCTTCTTCTTCCCCTTCCGTTTCGGACTCGCTGGTGGGGCTCTCCTCCCCCGTTTCATGTTCATTGCTGCTTTGTTCTTCACCCTTTGTGTTCGAATTTGTAAGGTCTGTTTCGTTTCCCCCTTTTTTTGCGCTGAAATGCGGCACATTGCTCTCTTTCTTTTCCGCCACCTCGAAGTTGGTGATATTTCCTCCACCTGGAACAACGCCTGACTGCTTCTCCTCGTTGTGCGTATTCTTTACGCCCCCCTTTGATGCCTCCCTCAGTTTCTCCGACTCGAAATCGCGAATTATATATTTGTACTTGTCAAATTTTCCGGTGAAGTCGTCGACGATGCCCTGGAACACGCCCAGTTTTTCATTCAGCTTGACCAGCTCCTTTTCTATGTTTTTGTCTTCCCTGATTTTCTCATAAAAATAGAAATCGTGCTTCAAATTGCGAACGCAGTTTTCGTTTTCCATGTTGAGCTCCTCCGCGACATGTTTGGAGGAGTCCTTTGCATTCTTCTTATTAAAGTAAGAATAGTCCAGGAGCTCCTCAAATATGCTCTTCTGTTTGCACTCTGGTCCTTCTTCTTTGTGGCCTTTTTTTGTGGAGGACTTCTTCATTGCCCCGCTGTCCTGCTCCTGGCCGGTGGAGGCAGCACATTTCTGGGTTCCCCCCCGATCGTTAAGGAAAAACTGCTTCACTAAATCATCCCCACTTATCCAGTTGTCTATATAAATCACATTGTTAATCGAAACGTTTATGATTTTTTTAATATTCTCCTTTATAGTGCTAATGGAAGGGTTAATCACAATGTCATTTTCGTGAACGAGGAGTAAAATTTGAATTTCATTCCTCTTCCGAACTTGGTTCTGTGGGCTTTCCTCTTCCAAATTAGACCATGTATTAATGAGGCTCCTGATATTCTTTAGGTAAATTTTCTTCAGCACAGACAAAAATATATCATGGTAAAATTTCCTCGTGTTCAAAATTTCCTCCTTGGTAATTTCGGTCTTCAGTTTAGTTTCATACACATACTGTATATTGCTCAGCAGGTCGAAAATGGCGATTTGTATTTTCTTCGATATCGAATTGCAGAGGATAATTTTGTTGTGGAATTTTTTCTTGTGCTTGCTGATAACGAGTTTTTCATTCTTATTCTGCAGAATTCGATAGATCACCTTAGTGTTATAGTTAATATGGTCGTCAATAATATCGTACAAGGAGTTAATTGCCTCTTCAAATTGTATTAACTCTTTGTGTAAGTTGTTTATCGAATCTTCCAATGCATAATTACTCCATGTGTATTTGACGAGAAAGGGGAGCAGGAGCTGATCAATGTAAATAAAGAAGCGCTTTAATGTAAACTCGATGTCTTTTTTTTTGTTATTTTTCATTTTTTTTATCAATATGAGTATGTTATGAAGCTTGTAGTAGAAGCTGTATATCTTCGGTTCCTGCGAAATCATATTTTTTACTTCCTCTGGGATTTCGAATTTGAAAGACAGAAAAATCTTCGCCTCTCTTATTATTCTCTTTATTCTGTTGTCAAAGTTCACTATCACATTCTTCGTCTTCGGATGTTTCACAAAAACGGTAACGTTTAGGCTGTTCACGCTTTTTATAAAGCACAGCCAATGTTTAAATAGCTTATTTTTGTACTCTTCGATGAACTTTGATATTTTCAAGTATAATTTTAGTACCTCCTTCCCGTTGGCACTTTTGAACAGGACGTTTTTTATTTTTTTCTTTTCTTTCTCGGGGGTGCCCGCGGTGGGTGCTACACTCGATGAAAACTCCTTTTTCGCTTCTTCCTCAACGGGTTTACCTTCCCCTTTGGCATTTTCCACACCTGTCCCGTTTGATGCTGAGTCGTCCTTCTTCTCCTCCTCCGCGGTTTTCTTCCTTTCGTGGTCTTCTAACAATTTCGTAACTTGCTCATTTATGCTGTAAAACGTGTCCGCACTGGGGTTGCCCCCATTTTCGTCATGCGCTCTGCGTAGAGCCCCATTGACAGTGTCACCACCGACGGGACGCGATTCTCTCCTCTTATCCATAGTGGTCTTCCCTTTCATAGCGGACAAGTCGTTATTCAAGTGAGGCAACTCGAAATAGGAAGAGAGGTCATCCTTATCGACGAGTGTTGAATTATTTTCATCTAGAAAAATCTGAATGATATGATTGATCTTGTAGTTAATACTGAGGATCCAAAAAATATTTTTCAAATAATTTAAGCTCTTACTGCAGTTTAAGTTACTTTTGTAATTTTCCAGATCGTTATTTATGCCATTTAAAATTTCTAAGAATTGGGACAGTAGTATATCATATTTTGTGTGTAGGAAATGGATCAAGTAACCTCTTATGAAATTCTCCTTAAATTTGAAGAAGATAAAAAAGGAGAGCATAATGTTGGAGCTGTTATTCAACAAGCTGACGATGCTGTCTTGCAAGTCGCTTTCCAGCTCAGATATATACACTCTCAATTCGACAAAATCCCTATCGAAGTAATTATCGGTATAATTTAGCATATCTTCGGTGTGCTTCATTTTGAAATCCTTTATGTACTTATTGAAGGAAGCCGTTATGTTTTGTATCCTGTCAAATTTTACCCTTCTGAGAGACTTAAACTGTTTTATGCATAGGAACAAATCCACCAACTTTTTCAGACGCCTACAGAATATTTCTATCTTACAAAAAATCATTTTGGTATTCAAATCGACTGATTTATTTTTAGAATTCTCTTCGAAAAAAGTTTTTATACTTTCAAATTCTTCCCTGTACTTGTCATGCAATTTAAAGCATAACTCAAATTTGTCGATTAAATCATCTGGATCTAGTAGCCATAGATTCTGTCTCCTCTTTAGTTGTTCTATTTTTCTACTTTCACTGTCTTTCTCATTTGAGTAATCCTGTTCTTCTGTTTCATTTAATTTGTTATCCATGTTTTCTTCCATATCTTCATTATCATGTTCGTCTTCAGATTCGTTACTTTGGTCATCCCATGCGTAAAACCCATTTTCATGATCCAGGTAGCCGCTTTCGCTCTGTTCATTTTTATCTGCCCCCTCGTAGTCATCCTCTTGGTTATTCCTATCTTCGGAGTGCTTTCTAAAATTTGAATTTCCCCCTTTTTTTTTCCCTGAGCCGTGCATTCTATTTTGTTCATCAGTGTTTCCCCCACTTTGGTCGTCTTCATGGCCGTAATTATCCCCCTCATCACCACCCTCATTTTCCAGATTTTTATCTGATTTCGCATCGCCATATTGACTTCCGAGTGCTCCCCCCTTCTTACCTCGTCTATTATTCGTCCCTCTCCTCTTCCGCTTCTTCTTTTTGGCGCAAAATATTTCCTCCTTGCATTTAATCACCAGCTGGTTGGTGATCTTAATGAACAGGTTATTTAGCTTGTTGGGTGTATTGTAAAACCGAGCTACGAGGTAAATCATCTTAATGGAATTCAACAGAGAAGGAAGATTATCAATAATATTCTCTACGTTGCATAGATAAAGGGACAGGATGAACTGCTCGATGCTTTCCAAGTATTTAATGTTGTCCTTACTCTCAGTGAATTCATTTTCAATCTTCGTTTCTAATTCTCTCCACTTGTTCAGTATGTCAAATGTGTACGTATATTTTTGCTCCTCATTATTTGCACTATTTATATTTATGTTATTTATTATATTTTTAATTTCGTTGCTTCTCAGTTCTTCCATAATAAAGAGTAGATACCTGTGTTTGTACCTCCAGTACTGAATCTCGATAAATGGTCCCACGTCTACATTTGATTTTTTGTACTCTTGAATTTTTTCTTGCATATCATTGAATAAGTTTTCTAAAATGTTTAAATATTTTGTCAAGTGCGCGGTTTCGTTTTTTTTCTTCAGCATTTTATTTTCCGATTCATTTGCTCCCACCCCGTCGCTTGCTCCCGCAACATCGCTTGCTCCCACACCATTGTTTGCCTCCTCGCAAATCATTTCATGCTGGTCCTGCTTCATCTTCAATTTCACCTTTTTTATATCGTCTAAAATGAGAATAAATTCGTTCAGCTCCTTTACATACGTATCAAACTCCATGCTAAACTTTTTCACTTCGTCTCTGCAAATGTTTGCATGTATCATTTTGTTATTTAAAAAGAGGGGGTAAATAACCTTGTTCAGCATCACCTTTAGGGTGTCTAAAATATTTGGAGATAAAATTCCATAGAGTATGCTCTTTTCGTCCTTCAGATCGCCATTTAGGCACTTATAGAAATAAACAATTTTTTGATCAAATTTTATCTTCTCCTCTTTTGCTACCACCATTTTGTTGTTTTCCACCCCGAAGAGTAGCAAATCCTTTTTCTCCTTGCCCAGAAAATTATCGACTACTTCCTTCCTTTCATCTGCGTTTCTGTCTAGCAAGTAGTCCACATTGTACTCTTCTTTATAGGAAAACTTGAGCTTGCTCAGAACCCATTTGTGGGCCCCGTAGGTTTGTGACTCGTCGCTTCGTCGCTCCATCCTGTTCGGCTTCTAGGCGTGTCTGTATGCATGTGCATATGTGTGATGCGCAAAAGTGTGGTGTGAAAAATATAGGCTGCACATACGTACGTGCTAACCGTGAGAGAAAACAGTGTAGAAGGGGTTACTCCCGCGTACCGATTCGGATCATGCGAGAAAGGGGGTTCTCTGAACATACCGCATGCACGTAGTTATCTCTGCCCCTCGTCCGGATGTATACCTCCACCGAGTAAAATATTACCCTACACACCTTTTGTCTACATGCAAGAAACGAGTCCCGTCGCGTACACTTCTGCTTAAGTGTTCATTTGTTTTTTTTTTTTT